GTCCTCCGGAGGTCGCATTCGAAGGCTGCATACGTCATCGAGGCTGTCTCATTTCAGAAAAGCAAGTAGGACACTCCAACTGCGACCTTCGAATGCAACCTTCTTTCACAGGAATTCAGAGGATGCATGAGGTGTATCTTTCGCTGCTACAGATAACCCACAATTCTTTGCGTCGCCGTGAACAACCTTTGTTAATTTGAAAAAGGCTGGCGCCGGCAGCTGTAACGTACACACAAGCGCAGATGTGGTGTTTACAACTTACCTTAATTCACCTCGGTAAAAACGGATAAACTTTGTTTTTAATATCCTCCTCCTTTTTTTCTCTAATAGATGCCTGCTGTACGTACACTGCAGCTCCTCAAACATTGAACAAAATAAAACAAAACCTTTTTTTTTTTATTACTTTCCAAATTTAGAAATAATTTTCCTTCATTTAAGTAGTGTGAGAGCGCAACGATGCTCTAAATGTGTTGGCATAGCAACATGATACTTCCGGTTTCCTTTTCCGCCCGTCCTACGAAGGCCGTCTCGTTTAATTCTAGGTTGAGGACACTTCGTATATATGCATCCTACAGAGGATGCGACCTCCAGAGGATTTGACCTCCGGAGGGTGCAGCCTTCTAAATGAGACGCAGCTAATGTGAACACAGTCCAGCGGGGGCGGGGGCAGGGGTAGGGGGAGGGGGGATCAATCGAACTCGGGTTCGAACCAAGCAATCGAACCAAGTGTGAAAGCACTCTTAAGTTGTCCTCAAAAATGAGCCATGGGAATGTTTTCTGCCACTGTGGATTAAAATTGTATTTCCTACCAGTAGTGGAGGATGAACCGTTATCACCGCTTGGTCCCTCTTTTACGTTTTCGTCGCCCTCCTCTTCAATATCCTCCTCAGGATCTACTGTTTCTGTCACGCTCTGTCTTATGAAATAATGACTAATTGGCTACATAATTCATGTATGCTCCATGTCTATCTCTGTGATGCGTTACCTCACTTTTTTTTATGTGGCGCCTGCATGCACTTTGCGTGGATCATGTGAGTTTTTTTCTGAGACCGCATTATCAGTGTTTTATCTGCTTGTTTTTTTTGTAAAAAATAAATAAATATTTGCACACGTTGTAACCTATTGTGCGTTATGGAAGAAAGAAACACGATGCAGGTCACCATCAACCTATGTATTAATGTTAAAGGATGGTGCAACCAAACGATAGAAAGTACAATGTTTTTCCCCAGCATATACACATGAGTGCAGGGGCAGAGGAAACCCCGAATCAGAGTCTTAAAGGGACAGACACCCAGACCATTACT